TACACTTAGACTTTTCACACACTCTTGAATTAATTTGAATTTCTACTTGGAAAATAAAAAGCTGATTTATTTTTTCTTCTGAAATGCTGAAAATACATAAGTTTTAATATCTGTAATACTTAGTGTTGGTTATATTGTAGGTAAAGCTGTTTGTAGTTTTTTTATATCAATGAATTTGAATTCAAATGAGCAATCTGATGATTTACTATTCAGTTATCTTAACTTTCTTATCTTTGTCTCCGTTGTTTCTGCAGAGGCAGTGGGTGTCACCAGCCTGCGACCAATGCTTTGTCCTTTTCATAAAAAGGAGCAATTGAAGCTTTACTGTGAGACATGTGACAAACTGACATGTAGAGATTGCCAGTTGTTAGAACATAAAGAGCATAGGTACCGCCTTCTTTCATTATATACACAGATTTGTAATACAGCTTTATGAGGACTAGAGGACTACTGCCAACCCCAGGCAAATGGCAGTCTGCAAATATGTTTTGTTTGACTAGCAGTATGCTGGCCTATACCAGGGTCTCTCAAGTTTGGCACTGTTGACATTTTGGGCTAGACAATTCTTTGTTGGGCTGGGGGAACTGTCCTGTATTGTATGGTGGTTAGCACATCCTTGACCTCTGCCAACTAGATGTCCTTTCTCCTGTCCAGATGTGACAACTAAATAATTTCTCCAGGTATTTCCAAATGTTCTATGGAGCAAAATCACCCTGAATGGAGAACCACTGCCCCATACACTGTTTTAAAATGAATGGAATTAGCTACCAGTGTTATAAATGAGAAGATTCTACATTTTTAAAAATACAGATTTTTTTTTTTTTACTTTTTTGAGAAAATGGAAACCATTGTAGCCCTGCGACTGTATACTTTCATGTCAGCATTTGGCTGGAATCGACTTTAGTGCTCTTTAGAATGAGACATCCCTTTTCCAGTTCATTATAGTCCCTACCAAAACTTACTTTTAAATCTGACCTCCATAGGCATTTGGGTTAGCAACCACTGATTTACATAGTAAGATTCAGATTGATACAGATGTAATTGTTTGTAATTATCTAGGCTCCCAATGATGGCAGACTAGATAATTTGGACCAACCATACCAGTGAGGACAACTATTAATAGAGAACCTGGACAAAATACAGAAATCATACATGAAATGTCAGAGCTAAAAACATAGTAAGGAATTGTTGGATGAAGATTGGGTTGGAGTAGGGACAGAGAATAGTAGGGCCTTTTTTTCTCCCCTTGAGGCATTTGCGTAGAGGTTTAGGAGTATTTTTAATAGGATTACAGGTTTGAGAAAACAGGGATTAGAGTTCAGGCGTCTCAAGGGTTAAGGCTTCTCCTTGACTTGAGCTGGGACCCTAAAAGGCTATGCTATTGTAGTAAAGATGAATTAGTAAGTAGTTCCTCACAGGAACTAAAGGTCAGTACCTACAGTTGGATTAAAGTGTAATCATATTGCTGGCCCCCCAAGGTACCTGGTAAAATATAAATCCTGCCTGGAGAAAGAAAACATCCTAGGCTTCCAATTTACTTAATGATGAATTGTGCAAAACAGTACCCAGCACACAATTAGAAATAAGTAGGTATGCTAGGATATTAGACAGTGTGCACAAAACCTAGCAGATACAACAAACAATATAAAAAGACTCATAGGGCTACATCTTATTATATTCAAGGTGATAAAAGACAAAATGGCAAATTCAGGTGGGAATTGAAAACTATAAAAAAGAATGAAATGGGAAAGTATAGAACTGAAAATTACAATAACTGAAATTAGTAGAAGGGTTTAACATCAGCTGTGGCATAGCAGGAAATGAAAATTAATGAACTAGAAGGTAATTAAGAAAATATCCAGAAAGAAGCATGGTAAACAGGAAAGTAGACAAGATAGACAAGAGAGATAGAAAAGATCTAACAGGGATGTAATTGCAGTCCAAGAAGGACTGAAAAGAGAGAATGGGAAGGAAGCAATGTTTGAGGACAGAATATAATGACTGAGAACTTTTCAAATACCAGCAAAAGACATTTAGCCCATTTTTGTACAAAACAAACTGGGAGAGTGTATCCCTGGTAAACCCTCACATTTTAGGCAGAAGAAAAACGATAGGAGATGCACAATGGAATAAAGAGCAATTAAAATAATAGGTATGAGTATATATAAAAGAATGTTGACTTAGGAAACAATAATGTTGACGTGTGGTGTATGTATGTATATCATGTAGCAGACATGTTAGGAGAATGTGGAGTTTGTGTTCTAAGGTCCGTGTATAGTCTAGGAAGAAGGTAAAAAGTACAAACTAATGTTAGATGATGACAAGTTAAAATCTACATTTTGTAATGTCTAAGAGTAGTCACTAAAAGAACAGTGAAAGTGTCTATAATTACTAAGATAGTGGTGGGTGGGGGAGATGGAATAATTAGTCAGTATAAACAGAGGCCAAAAAAGTGAATAAAAGGAATAAAGAACAGATGGGATATAATAACATCTTTGTAAATTGGTAGATCTACAAATACATTATAATTATACTAAATGTAAATAGGCAAAATGTTCCAAATTACAAGACAAGTTTCAGACTACATAAGAAACAAAAATAGAGGAATCTGCTGTTTACTTTGTACAAGAAACATCTAAAACCTAAGTATATAAAAAGGTTAATGGGAAAAGATGTGCTATACAAATACTAACCAAAGGAAAGCTGGTATAGTAGGCAAAATATGTTAATTGAGATAAAGAGGGAAACTTTGTAAGGATGAAAGCCTGTCTTCATCTAAAAGATAGGAGTTCCAAATTTATATGGAGAACAAACTTATGTTAAAAAAAAATGACAGAACTTCAAACTAATAGACAAATCCATAGTCACGGTAGGAAATTTTACCGTACTCTACTCGGTAATTGAAGCTAGCCACTGTTGTGCACACCTGTATTCCCAAGCTACATGGGATGCTGACGTGGGAGGATTGCTTAGGCCCAGGAGTTTGATTCTAGCCTGGGCAACATAGCAAGACCCCATGTCAGAGTGAATGAATGAATGACAAAACATGCAGACTAAGTATCAGTAAAGATATGTCAGTAAGATTCAGATAACACCATTAGCATAATGTCTTATGGACATCATAGAACACTGCACCCAATAATACATTCTTTACAAACATACAAAGAGAAATGTTTAATTGACCACATGCCAGGCAAAGTCTTAAATTTCAAAGGATTGAAATCCTAGAAAATAACTTGTATAACTACATGCAGTTAATCTAGAAAACAATAATAGAGGAGAAAAATATATATTTGGAAACAAAGAAATGAAATTCATTTGAAAACTAAATGCAATGATGCATGATCCTGGACTCTATCCTAGATTAGTGGGAAAAAAATGATACAGAAGACTGCATTGAGACAAATGATGTAATTAGAACACGGTCTGTAGATTAGATGTTTTGTAACAATGTCAATTTTCTTGAACTTTATACTCTAATACATAAGAGAACATCCTTGTTTTTAGGAAATACACACTGAATTATTAAGGGGTTAACAGGCTATGATAAGGCAAAATTTGAAAAACTGATTAATCTGTGCAAAGGTTTATATGAGATTTCTGTGCTCTTGCAGATTTAACTTTGAAATTATTTCAAAATAAGTGGCTAAATATAAATTTAAATCGTTAAAGAATAAATTACAATGGATATTAGAAAATACTTTGAATAATGGTGACTATTATAAATATCAGTCAAGCCTTATTTTTTTTTTTTATAGCTAGCCATATTTGGAGGGAAATTTATATCATTCAATGTATATATTAGATATTAAGGATAAAAAGTCAATGCCCTAAACATTTATCTGAAGTTAGGAAAAGCAAATTAAACCCAAGGGCTG